GCGGCAATGTTCCCAAACCACAATTGTAAAAGTTAGCAAATGGGAATGTTGCGAATGTGTTATCGAACATTGCGGCAGCGCCCTAAGTGCGTTGGACGTTGCGGCAATGTTCCCAAATGAAAATTGTAGAAGTTAGTAAATGGGAATGTTGCGAATGTGTTAGTGAACATTGCGGCAGCGTTATGAGCGCATTAAACGTTGCAGCAATGTTCCCCACTTAAAATTGAAGAAAGTAGCGAACGGTAATGTTGCGAATGTTGCGAGTGCGTTAACGAACATTGCGGCAGCACCCTGAATGCATCGAACGCTGCGGCAATGTTCATAATTTAAAATTTAACGGAATTATTGATTGCAAAAGATAATAATGGATACTTTGTTTTGTGAGGCACGATATTATCACTTGCGGGTCTAAAAAAAAAAAAATGAGTATGGATGTGTACAGGAGCCACACTAGAAATTGGACTTCTCGCGAAAAAAAAGGGATATAATAATGATAATAGTTAAAATAAATCTACGCGATGAGCTTTTTCTTGAACGTAATTCTTCAGCTTCCATCCTTTTCTTACTCTACCCCCCCCACTCTTTTTATTACGTATTCTGGACCTAACAATCCTACATGCTCATAACAACACAACATCAACGTTGTAATTGTTGCAAATAAAAAAAGGGTAAAAATGCCAAAAATCAAATCATTTTCCAACAAGGAAAATTCATAAAACAAATCCAAAAGATAACAAGTCTTTTCAATAATAATGCTTGATTTTATCAAGTGCATATTATTATATTTGGCTATACCATTAAAAGAAAATAAAAACTCAGCATTATTGGCATAGTAACAGGCCCAGAGCTCACGCCTTGTTCACGTGTTAAAAACCCTTAGTCCACAAAATTTTCCCACCTGAAGTCTCTAAACGTTCATATAAAAGTGCATCGCGGAAGTCAATTAATTGCAGTACAACTCTCATTCGCGAGTCAGCTCTGAAATTTTTCAGAGGCATAAAAACGATTTTGAGACGCCGGGACTAAGCCCGTCCGTGAGTCGGTTTTTCAATTTTTGCAATCCACTACATAGATAGTGATTAAAATTGGACGGACGAAAAGTTAAAGTAAATACTTCACGCCGACGAAGTCCAACGGAAGTCGTCTTTAATAAAAATCCAGTAATTCGAATAAAATCAAATTATTGAATTTTTGTCTTTTTGACCGGCCAGTCCGCACGTGTGGTGCCTGCGCTGTTTAGATTCGGTGGACCCGTGAGAGCATTTTTCGTGCGCTACCAATAGACGCTTTCGCGCTTTGCTAAGTGTGTGTATTTTTCCGCCCGTCGGAAAGCAGCTCGACGCCTCGCCCTCGTTAGCTTGCGACGGTATAATAAGCAGTAGAGTAAGTTTTTAAACATGTATCGTTCCATCTTCTTATCTTATTGTATTATTTCAACATTTTAAAATCAAAGATTTCTTTTTATAATAAATGTATAAAAGGGTCTTAATTGTTTTATTGTGTCTTATCCCTTAAATTCAATTCCGAATAACGTAACTTGGCAGTTTTCTTCTTAAAAAGGATACACGATCCCATAAAATTAAACGGAATTTTTAATTTCGGCAGCTTGGTGCCTCCAGGACATAGAAAATAATAATTTTTATAATTAATATTTTTTTTCGGTTCGTAACAAGCTGATGGTGGCAGCGGTGGGATTTTTCCTTACGTTGCTGTCAGCTACGTTATCGGAACAATTGATTTTCATCAATTGTCACTTTAGAGTTTTTCAAAAAAAATTTAATTTTGACAAAATTTTTTTTTTAACGTCTACTTTTAATTTAAAATTCTTATACTTATACCTTACTAACATTTCAAAACTAAAAATCAATCATTCTAATTTATTGAGTGATTGATTTTCTTTTCCTTGTATTGAAAGAAAAGTACATAATGACTTTGTCTTAAAAATAAATTCTGGATTATGGCTCTCCAACTTATGTTGTTGATGATGACGCAATCCTAATTTATGATTCTGGCTCTCCGACCTTGGTCGTTGATGATGACATTATCTGAGACATTGGTTCCGAAAATTCTTTCAATTAAAAGAAAAGAATAGTTAAAGACTTTAATCAACTAATTTCAAACTTCTTTTTGAGAATTGTGTAAGAGAGGATTTTTCCGAGGAAAAACCTTTCAATTTCTAATGCATTCAAGAAGTACATGACGACCTGTTTGAATTGCGAAAAATTGTGATTTTGGCTCTCCGACCTTGGTCGTTGATGATGACTCATTCACAATTTTGATTTTGGCTCTCCGACTATGTCGTTGATGATGACTAATCGAAATTCATAACAGTAACTCTGGAAATTTGTATCTTTTGAAATAAAGACAAAATTCTCATCGAGAAAAACAAAAGAAGTAATATTTTCTTTGACTGTCTTATATTTTCCTCCATTCTTTATACTTTACTTTGAAAATTCAGAAGAGAAAATTTCTCGAAAGGAAAATTTTCAATTTCTTAGTGCATTCAAAAAGTACATGACGACCTGTTTGAATTGCGAAAAATTGTGATTTTGGCTCTCCGACCTTGGTCGTTGATGATGACTCATTCACAATTTTGATTTTGGCTCTCCGACTATGTCGTTGATGATGACTAATCGAAATTCATAACAGTAACTCTGGAAATTTGTATCTTTTGAAATAAAGACAAAATTCTCATCGAGAAAAACAGAAAGAAGTGATATTTTCTTTAACTGCCTAATATTTTCCTCCATCTTTATACTTTACTTTGAGAATTCAAAAGAGAAAATTTTCAAAAGGAAAATTTTCAATTTCCTAATGTATTCAAAGATTTAAGTGACAACCTGTTTGAATTGCGAAAAATTGTGAATTTGGCTCTCTGACCTTGGTCATTGATGATGACTCATTCCCAATTTTTGATGCTGGCTCTCCGACTATGTCGTTGATGATGACTAATCAAAATTCATAACAGCGAATCGTAAAAATTTGTTTCATTTTTGAAATAAGAAAAAAATTCTCATTGCAAAAGAAAGAAACCTATTTTTCTTCTATACTTAACATGTCTTTAATAGAAATTTTTCTTTTATTTACTTTCGTGTTACTTATCGTCACCTTTTCGCTCTCCCTAATTACGGAATTATTAGGAATCTTATTTCAACTTTTCTGTTTAAGGGCCACTTTACTCTGTTAAAGAAGTAATTGAAAACTATTGATTTTTCATTTCTTTTTTTGCTATGAATCATTCAAATTATGCCACATAAAATTAGGCCCCGTGGCGGTCGCTCAAAAAAACGAATTAATTCACGCAATAAAAATATTCAAAACAAATCGGAAAATTCAGATACGAAAATAGAGACTACCCCCGTTAAAAACGAAATTGTTAAGGAAAATCAAGTTTCGGTAAAATCAGAATATAAATTTCATCCCTTAAATAGACGACCAAAACCAGAATCACAAATTAAATTAGATTATTTTGTGACATATAACCCAAAGCATCCACTTCACCACGGAGGCATTGTGTTAATTATTAGCCGGGACTTGTCCCCATGTCGGACATGAAAAAAGTAAATTAAAAAAGAACACACAATTAGTAACAAATAGAATGAGTTTTTAATCAAGGAATTACAACACAAAATCACAATCACTTTACAAAGGTATTAAATTATTAACTTCGTAGTGTTTTAGAAGGAGCGTCTCACAACGAGAACTCCACTCCAGCACTGCCAAATCAGTAATAAGCCGTTAAAATGACGTTTTCTTTGAAGCGTCCCGAGCTGGGAACCCCACTTCTTCACGTCAGGCCCCTTTTTATGTTGTTGTCCCTTGCTGGGAAAGCCGAATTTTCCGTATCATTTTCCGAAGGGAAGCCTCGTCCCTCCGTTCAGGTAGGAAAACTGTCTGTCTCCTTTGATAGCCTCTTCTCAGGTAACAGTCTGAAAGTCAATAAAAACACAAACCCACTACCGAACTAGCAATAATTAAACGCGATAAGAACTAACTTTAACAATTTTTCAACAACTATAATAACACAAGTAGAAATTTCTAAACACAAATTTTAAAGTTATTCTAACTAATTATCAACTATCCCCCCTTTCCCGCCATTTTTAGTTCCTGTGTTCAATATCCTCACCCCCAGTACGAGAGTAAGTAACTCCCGTACTCTCTTCTACAGGAACTAAGACAATAATATTTGCTGCTGATCTTTTCATGATTCGATTTCTAACGCGTACGTTAACTGAACGGACGCGTTTATCTTTACCTGGAATAGTCTCTAAAATCATTCCTTTCGGCCATAAATTTCTTGGAAGGGTCGGATCTGCGATTAATACCACATCACCTTCTGACAGCGGTCTCACTTCTTGAGTCCAACATTTCCTAATTACTAAACTGGGCATGTATTCTTTTAACCAGCGAACCCAAAACATGTCGGCTAGACGTTGTGACTTCCGCCAGGTCTTTCGGGAACACAAATCATCATTGTTGAAATTTCCGGGAATTGATGCTCCTGACGATGAGCCGATTAGAAAGTGATTAGGAGTTAAACTTTCGCTTTCACGGTGATCAACCGACACGTGGGTTAATGGTCGACTATTTACAACGTTTTCGGCTTCAACCAGCAATGTCGACAACACCTCTTTTTTGGGTGCCCTTGATTTCAGAGTTACTGCTAATGCTACTTTAACGCTACGTACTAATCTCTCCCAGCTTCCGCCCATATGAAAAGTAGACGGGTGAATATATCGCCATTTGATTCCACGACTCGTCATTTCTTGTTCAATTGTGTCATAATCGATTTCTTTAATCGACCTTTGGAGTTCCAGGTCGATTCCCTTTAAATTTGTACCATTATCCGAAAATATTTCTGAAGGACAACCACGTCGAGCTACCATACGCCTGAGTGCCATAATAGCGGAATTGGTGGACAGGGAAGAAGCAAGTTCAAGGTGAATAGCCCGGGTCGTTAAGCACGTTATAAGAACACCCCACCTCTTCTCGTTTCGTCTTCATACAGTGACCAACATAGGACCAAAGTAATCTATCCCGCAAAACGTGAAAGGTCTTTGATGATGACCCAATCTCTCTATGGGTAAGTCACCCATGCGGGGAATTTGCGGTTTTGCTTTCTGGACATGACACTATCGGCATTGTGCAGAGACAGATCTTACCGTGGGGCGTAGTTTTATTATCCAGTACTTCTGTCTCAGTTCGTTAACAATCGTTTCAGGTGAGGCATGTCCGAATTTTTCATGATAGTATTGTACAAGCAATCGAGTGAACGGGTGCTTACCGTCTAGGATTACTGGAAACTTAACGTCGTATGAAACATCGGTGGCTACTTTTATTCGACCATCAATTCGTGTGACTCCGTCCGCGTCCATTACGGGTGAAAGATCTTTAAGCCTACTATCTTTATCTAATTGTTTACAATCTTTCAACTTTTGGATTTCGGACCCGAAGCATTCTCTTTGTAGTTGTTTTATCCACGCGAGTTCGGCTTTCTGTAAAAGGTCTGGGGTGAGCGTGGCATTTTTGTTTCCACGCCAACGTTGGGGGGACACCAATACCCATGATGTACTTCTGATCAGACATAAATACTTAGAAAAGTGCGAAATCTCTGGCAGAACTTGTGTTATGTTTTCTTTAACAACGGTGACAAACTCGCGTTTTGCTTCGGTTTCGCAAGATATTTTCCTATCGATAGAATTCTGTTTTGGCCACATCGATTCGGGCGAACAAAGGAACTTCGGTCCTTGGAGCCATCTATTTGTAAGAACCTGTATATTTCCTACATTCTTGGTTGCACAATCGGCGGGGTTCAGTTTGCTAGGAGTCCAGTTCCATTCCGCTATGTCCGTTATTTCGTCGATTTCGCCTAGGCGGTGAGCTACAAATACTTCGTACTTTCGTGGGTCTGCTTGGATCAATCCTAGGACGGTAAGCGAGTCGGTCCAATATACGCGCCTCGTGATAGTTATTTCGAGTTCCTCGATAATCGTTTTGCCTAATCTACTCGCTATTAACGCTCCTTGGAGTTCCATACGCGGGATTGATAAGGACTTCAGTGGAGCTACTCTCGCCTTTCCCGCGATAAACGAAACATTAATTGACCCATCTCGAAAAATTCCTCGTAAGTAAGCAACAGCGGAATAGGCTTTATCGCTAGCATCACTAAAAATATGCAATTCTATGTCGCGAGGTATGTCTTCTCGATTAAAATAGGCCCTGGGAATCTGATAATCTTTTGCGTTTTTTAATTCCGATATCCATGCTTTCCAACGAATAAATTCTTCTTCTGTAAGTTTTTCATCCCAGGCGCACTTCCTTCGCCAGACGTCTTGTAGCAACATTTTACTTCGAATTGTAAGTGGTAGCAAAATACCCAGTGGATCATAAACTGACATTATAACACTTAGCATTTCGCGTTTAGTCGGATTTTCATTTTTGTTGGCAATTGAATCGGGGATTTTTCTACTATCGAAATTAAAGGTAATGGTGTCCTTAGACGAGTTCCAATTTAAACCTAAAGCTCTTTCTATATGATCTTTTGTCAAGTCAACTATGTCATTATCTTTATTTGCGGAAAGTTTACTTTGTAAAATTTTATTATTACTAACCCACCCGGTAATCTCGAATCCTCCGTGCTTATGAACTTCCGTAACTTCTTTGATTATCCTTAGCGCTTCCGGTTCCGAGTCTGTACTATCTAGGTAATCGTCAACATAGTGTTTGTTTTTGATGGCTTTAGTTGCTCGCGGATATTTTGTTTCGAAATCTTTGGCATTTTTATTCATTATATATTGTGCGGTGCAAGGGGAGGAAGTCGCTCCAAATAACATCGATGTCATTACATATACTTCAGGATCGCATTCTCGATTCATTCCGCGCCACAAAAACCGTTGTGCCCCTTGGTCTTCTTCGCGAATTTTTATTTGAAGAAACATTTCCTTAATATCCCCCATAAATGCTATCTTTTTTTGTCTGAAACGCAATAGGACGCCATACAGTGAACAAACAAGATCCGGACCTGTTAGCAAGCTAGAATTTAACGAAACTCCTTTAGTTTTTGAAGACGCATCCAAAACGAGACGAATTTTGTCTGGTTTGTTATGGTTAATTACCCCGAAATGAGGTAGGTACCAAACACGAGGGTTTTTAAGGGGAGGTAAGTCTGCTCTTTTTGCGTACCCAGACTTAATTAAATATTCTACCTGTTGACAGTATCGTTTACCGAATGTAGCATTTTTATCCATTTTTCTTTCAAGTGAATAAAGGCGTGTAAGGGGATTTTGGTAATTATTCGGTAATTGGAAACCTTCACTCTTCCACAACAAACCTACCTGCCAACGTGAGCCTAAGCGTTTCGCAGTGTTAGATAATATGTTCTCAGCCCTTTTTTCCAATTTGTTCCTTCGACTATTATTAGTGATACCTATACATTCTGTGCTAAAATATGACTTGACTAATTTATGTAGATCCGAAGAGTCTTCGGAATTTTCTTGTGAACAATCTATTGATAAAACTGTTACATAATTATTTGTTTCTAAACGCGTAGGTATTTGACCGTGAATAACCCATCCCAACTTGGTCAAGGAAGCTACTGGCTGAAATCGAGAAACTGACATTGTTCTTATTGATGTAACGAGATCCCAATGGTCCTGACCGATTAACAGTTTCGGTACAACATTGTTATAAGGCTCGACAGATAGGTGTGACGTATGGGAATAATTTTGTATATCGTTTGCCGAAAGCGATTGACTAGGTAGAACTAAACTTTGTATGGTGCGAGCGTTTCGTATTGAATGTTTTACATTACTGTCGAGGGCACTGATTTCAAAATCGACTCGTTCGCTAGAGGGGTCAGAAGTCCCTGAATTCCCTACGCCAGTAATTTGTAATGGATCTCGTTGTCCTCTCACCCCAATGATTTTAGCTAAGGTATCATCTAAAAGGGTAACTGTCGACCCTTCATCCATTAGGGCAAATGTAAGAATTGTTTCTTTAGGTCCATATAGTTTGACTTGAATGATCTTTAATAGAATACGTCTATCGAGGGCTAGTCATTTCTCTGTTTCTTTATTTTTGACGGATCTTAGAGCCTCGTTTCTTATAATAGCAATTTCTTCATCATCGTTAGATCTATCCATTCGATGAAGTAACGTATGATGGGTACTCTTACAACCAAAGACGGTACAACTACCTTCGCGACATTTGTTTTGTCGATGCTCAGTGCTCGACAAACAACGAAAACAAATTTTCTTTTTGCTGGCCCAGTCCCATCGTTTAGAGGTGGACAATTTATCAAATTCAGGACATACTACGACTGCATGATCTTTACCTTGACAGTAGCCGCAATTTTCTTTTTTGTTCTTTTCTTCAGCCGTAGTATGTACTCTCTCGGTAGCACGATTACCAGACTGTTGCGACTCAAAAAAATTTCCTCGCGATCGTTTCGGGTTATGATTTTTATTGTCAGAGTTATGAGGGCGTTTAAAAGTTTCAGATTTTTCTACAGTCTCAAATATGCCGACTTTGCACGCGATCTCGGCTTCAAAGAAAAGGAAGTTTGACAAAGATACAAGCATGGGAATGTCAGGTTCATTACTACTGTGCAGATAACGATTAAAATTGGAAACCATGGAAGATGGCATTTTGCCCATAATCTCACGGACCAACTCTAGACTATGCAAATATCCAAGGTGTTTGGTCGCTTCTAAGGCTGCTACGCTGTTCTTGACTTTAGTAGCAAAGTTTATAAAATTGTCATTTATTCCTTGGATTTTTGGCAAATTTTTTAAATCCTTTATTATACGAGTTCCGACCGCATTCGCGTTGCCAAAACGAAGTTGTAATAATTGCATAATTTGCTTAGTATCGTTAGTTGTTACCATAAGCGAAGCTACGGCTTCTTTTGCATCGCCTTTTAAACTTTCATTTAGTCGAATTAAATTTTCTTGTTCAGTGTAACCCACCTTTGATGTGCTCTCCTCAAATGCTCGTTTAAACATCGGCCATTCTAAGACGTCAACATCGAAGGAGGGCAGGGCCTTTCCTACTGACATCTTTTTAATAATCCCTTGATTCGTTTTTTCTAACATATCCCCCCCCCACGCGATTCTCTTATGGAACGAGATATTTCTTGGGCAAACTCTCTTAAGCTATTACTAAGCATTGTATTGTCATGAATTCTTGAATGACCCGATTCCGATCGATTGTCTTCATCTCGATACGAAGGACCTGCATTTCCGTGCCGTCCGCGATCCACCCATTCACCCACACTACCGGTCTCATGATCGAATTGCCGATCTATAGAACCCCCCCGCAAACCTTCCTCCTCTTCTAGACTATCGAGATTCGCGTTAAACTCTTCTTCAATTAATCGCATTTCTAATTTTCTCCTTTCTTCTAGAATCTTCGATTCAAAAAGAAATTTCTTTTTTGCAGCTTCTAATCTTAGATCTCGCTTTCTGTTTAAAGAATCCCTAGTGATAGGAATGACCAAACTCCCATCATCAAAGTTGTTTATCGAACCCTCACCAAGCATACTGACAGTACCAGAACTTCCGCGAGAATTGGTATTAGGTAATGGAGTAGACTCACCTCGATTTTCCACGCTCGGTATTATCTCTCTCTCACCTTCTGCATTTGATCGGCTACCAAGTTGCACATGTCTTGTGTCCCCAAGCACCTGACTAGAAAGTCTCGGCATCTCGTGATTCTTCTCCATTTTACGTATTATTATTTCACTTTAACAATTTATCGCGACACGCACTTATTTTACTTTTGTCTGGCGAATAGGTAGACCATTGGTGTTACCCGGCGCCTCCACCATTTGTTATTAATAGCCGGGACTGGTCCCCATGTCGGACAGGAAAAAAGTAAATTAAAAAAGAACACACAATTAGTAACAAATAGAATGAGTTTTTAATCAAGGAATTACAACACAAAATCACAATCACTTTACAAAGGTATTAAATTATTAACTTCGTAGTGTTTTAGAAGGAGCGTCTCACAACGAGAACTCCACTCCAGCACTGCCAAATCAGTAATAAGCCGTTAAAATGACGTTTTCTTTGAAGCGTCCCGAGCTGGGAACCCCACTTCTTCACGTCAGGCCCCTTTTTATGTTGTTGTCCCTTGCTGGGAAAGCCGAATTTTCCGTATCCTTTTCCGAAGGGAAGCCTCGTCCCTCCGTTCAGGTAGGAAAACTGTCTGTCTCCTTTGATAGCCTCTTCTCAGGTAACAGTCTGAAAGTCAATAAAAACACAAACCCACTACCGAACTAGCAATAATTAAACGCGATAAGAACTAACTTTAACCATTTTTCAACAACTATAATAACACAAGTAGAAATTTCTAAACACAAATTTTAAACTTATTCTAACTAATTATCAACTATCCCCCCTTTCCCGCCATTTTTAGTTCCTGTGTTCAATAGTGAAAAAAGAATTATTATTAAGAAAACAAATTTTTTTATGGAAAAATAGATTTCTTTGTGTCACAATTAATTTTTCTCATGTCATTGAGAAAAAAAATTTTTATTGAGAAAATTTTTTTTTATATTTGTAGAAATGAAAAAAGTTGTTTTAATTAATCGATCTATTTTTTTAAAACTTATATTCACTTACACATTTGTCACTCTAAAGTTTAATTTTAGAAATTCATTCACAAAGTAATTTTCAACGCCATCTACTGTTTAAAGCCCGTATCACAGCTCCCGCTGATGGTAATATACATATATGGTAACTCAACAACTGTATGCATTGTACACTTAAAACACTTATTATTGAGTAATTATATCTTAATTTATTGTTATTATTGTATAAATAAGACAATATTTTACAAGGAACCGAAACGTAACCCAATTCGGTTACATCTCGGTTTACCCAATCCGCCAGGGGATTTTCTTCAGACATTTTAGTTGTAAATTTAATTTATTATTATGCAATTCTAAACTGACGTTTAAATTTGTTTGACAAGAAATGCTGGAACGTTCAACTAATTCAAGCCAATGATAAATAACTGAAAATTCAAACCTATCGATTGACAATTTGATCAATAATCGAGCATATTCACGCGATATCAATCGTTTCTTGGTTTGATATGCATCACTAAGCCCGATGATTGGTATATGGAATTATTCAAATTCCATATACCAATCATCGGGCTGGTATTACCTACACCAGCTATTACTGGTATATGAAATTTTTATCGTTAAAACAAATAAGTAATATTAAATTACCATTAATAAATAATAATTTTTTTGCAACATTAACCTCTGAAGTTAAATTTTACACACTGAAAAGTGTGTGTAAAGAAGCTCTTTTTTAAACGGTGTGTAAAGTGTTTTACTTTACGCACCGAAATTTCTCTCACATAATATAAGCATTGTTTTAGACCATAGTAAACCACAAAATTAAAAAACGAACTTTACTTTTAAATTTATACACTTCTGCTTAATGATATTTTTCCTGATTTTTGATTGCTTTTTTTAATTCTATACAGTCAAAATTATTCTAATAAAGAGTTGGAATTCTTCATAATAGGTACTTAACTTTAGAGGTGGGTGTTGCAAAAAATGTTGTATGATACACGTGCGTAAATCTGATTATACTCGTGTGATTTGCATCACTCGGCTTCGCCTCGTGCTGCAAACGTCACACTCGTATAATCACTCACTTTACGCACTTGTATCATAAATAGGGTAAGTCCGGGGGAGTTGGCCATGCGGGAGAGATGGCCAATTCAAATATTTTATAGAATTTGATGCTAGGTATCGCTTATTAAAGATTAGTTCGCTTTGTTTTGTGGCAAAACACAATTAAAAGAAAAAACTTCACGAAAAATATTGAAAAAGTATGTAAAAATCTGATTTGTTATTTTGACTAGTTCGGAAAAAAAGTAATGAGTTTACGTTTCCCACTGGTATTATGTTATTTTATAGAATAATTTTGAATTTCATGTTTTTTTGTAAAGTACATGACCCAAGCTTTGTCATAAATTTATATTTATTCAAAAAATTTATTTATTTATTTAAATTTTAGTTGTATCAATTTGTCTCCTGACATTAGGAGAGATGGCCATGTTTTTTCGAGGTGACATGGCCATACTGTTTAAGTTATTGGCACCCTTGAGATTCGTGTGTTCGCTAAAAAAACATTAATTCTGTGGCAAATGACATTTTTTATGACATATATTACAACAAGACACTCCAAAAAAGATTTTCAAATTTAACTATGATCAGATAAAATAATCACTATTGTGTAATTAAATCTTAAAAACGTTTATAAACAATCATAAGACAGGTCTACAAAGTAAGACTTTTTTATATACAGGGGAGTGGTTTTCAATGTATTTTTGTGTGCTGAACCGGATTCCGGGTTCCAAAATTGCGTATCACATCAGGATTTTGAATAAAGTGGAGGTAAAGTCTCCAAAAACAGTGTTTTTGAGGGTTTTCATTATTTTTTTATTCCTTAACCAGACGTGCTAGACACTTCTATATATGCTTAAATTAAAGCTTAGATCGTACACTTTAAAGGGGGAACACCAGTTGTAACTCAACAAATAATGATTTTTACAAGAATATTTTCCAAAAGAACAATGAATCTTTTTAAAGAATACTATTTATTAGTTAAAAGTACATGTAAAAAGCTGTAATTTAAAAGAAAAAAAAATTTTTTTAACAAAAACTTTTGGAGATATGAGCCATTGAAGTGGCGCCTTAAGAAAAAAGGCGAATTGCGGTGACCAGCATTCTGCAAGTATACTTCGTCTGAAATACAAAAATGAAATTAATTTACATTTATTATAAGATTATCTAGTTCGTGATCGAAGGATTTAAAAAAAAAAATTTGACAAAATGGCGACCTGTCAAAGTCAAGAGTATGATTTTCGTTAAAAAATACGGTCGATTTTCAGCTATATAAAAAAAAGTTTTGCATAAAAAAAATCCTTCGATCACGAACTAGACTTATATGTGTAAATGAAGAACACTAAATTTTAAATAAATCGGTTTAATGGTATTCGAGTAATCGTGGTCACCGACTTGGAAAATGTCATTTTGAGAAAAACGCATTCAAAGTTTCAACTTACTTTTTGTTGTTCAGAAGAAATTTTGTTTCCAAGTTACAAAGAGTCATCGATTCCTGGACCACATAATAACTCTTTCGCAGTGGTTGCCGATTCTAAAATGCCAATCTGCTGCCATCTGTCGTTAGGGTCAGGTATGGCTGGCCACCTTGTATGAAGCCACGGGACTCACCGCTGCAGTGTTCTGTATATCTCATTTATTTTTCACCGGATCAACTTTGAAATTTACAGACACATTTCTAAATATGTATACTTTAAGAAAATTCACAAAAAAAATTGATTTGTCGAAAGTTACAACTGGTGTTCCCCCCTTAAGACTCATTTACGCAGGATTAAAAAAAAATTCGAAATTTTGAAAAAAATGGGGGTAAATATCCCAAAAATCTTTTTAGGTGACTTCAACCTAATTTTTTTTTTTAAATTTAAAATTTTTTTTCCTTGCGCATATGAGTCTTAAAGTGTAAGATATAAGCTTTAATTTAAACCTATATAGAAGTCTCTATCACGTCAGGTTAAGGAGAAAAAAAAAATACTGAAAACCCTCAAAAACACGGGTTTTGGAGTCTTTACCCCCACTTTACTCAAAATCCTGACGTGATACGCAATTTTGTAACCCGGGATAGTTTTCAGGACACAAAAATAAATTGGAAACCACTCTGATATCTCAAAAAAATACCTTGTAGACTTGTGTTGGTGAGACAGACAAACAGAGAGCGCTTATCGAAGACTGAATTCAGTGCAATGATTGTCACCTTTGACTTCATGAAAATTGCACTGAATTTAATGATAAATGTTCGAAATGTGGTCAGAAGAAGAAAAGAAGACATTAATCACTTTAAATTAAGAATTCTGATAAAGCGGAAAGCCAAAGAATGATTTTAAAGTATTGGCCATCTCCCCCGTACATTCCGGGAGATATGGCCAAACGCGTTTTTTAGAAAATATTAATTTTAAGATTGTTTGCATTTAAAAAATTTCTCATTTCTATTATTTTTTGTAAGTTAAATGTTCAATGTTTAAGTAGCAATAAAAGTTAATACATAAATCACTTTCTTCTTATTTTTACAGGCCTTTAAAAAAACTATGGCCAACTCCCCCGGACTTACCCTAACTATTTTATATATCTTTCATGATTTATTATTATTTATACATCTCTTTATCAGTCTTATTTTTCTCCGTTGATTAAGTAAATTAACTGTAATTCTTTCAGAATTCTATTATTTTTATAAATTTTTACATAATAATTTGTTTGTATTTTTGTGTTGCATCTGTGGTATGTATCCAAAAATACAAAAAAGGAAATTTAATATAAATAATAAAAAATTTAAATCATGATGTAACAAACATTTATTTCTAATACAATTTGAATAAAACAACACAAAAAAATATAGAAACACGTGGTTATGAAAAATATTTAAAAGTAAAAGTTTATTATAATTTAAAGTAATCAAATTAAGTTCAATTGTACAATGAGTAAGTCAACTATAATCTCTCAATGTATATGAGGCATTTCATATTAGGCCAGTCAATAAAGACAGAAAGTGTCATTATGGAGAGTCGCAAGCTATCTGAAAATGTTAAGATTATTCTAAACTATAATAAAATACGTTTTTGAGAATCTTTGGATTCAAAAACAATTTTTTTCAAAATTTTTTACAGTCCCGTTTTTAAGAATTTAATTAATAAAGTTGCATATTTTTACATGGTCTCTTATGGGGAGTACACTGAAAAAGCACACTATTTTGATTATAACTTTAGAGAAAGTGCTTAACTTTTTTTAAGAAACCTACTGTCGTGAAGTTTGAAATTTCTAGAATTTTTAGGAAGAAAAATTAAATAAGTTGACTGTTTCAATTTTGAGGAATATAATAAAAACTGACGTTAAATTATAGATGTTCTAACCTCTTTGGTGTCATAACACTGAGATGTGGCAACGTCGCAAGATTCTATCATTTGTAATTCCGTCAGCGAATGTCTATTCGTATTATGAAGATTGCCCAGGAATCAATCTTCCTTTTAACTTCAAGTTCGAAACATTTATTTTTATTTTTTTTCACTCATAATATTATAATCAACTTAGAATTTTGAAAAGCTTTTGAAAAAGCTGTCGAGTTAATAATATTTATATATTTGTTTCAAATCTTCAGATTTATACAAAGGAGTTTAGCATTACGTTTTATGTATATTACAATAGGAATAGAATTATATTACATAACTTATAATCATTATCGAGGAGTTACCTCTGTGCTTAACACTTCATTAACGAAAACCACTACCTTTTTCACAAAGATTTTATCTAAGATATTCAATGCATCCATCCAGTCATTTCTTATATCACATGTTTGTGATTTTTCACTTATACTCTGTCTAATCAACAAAAACCTTGAACATTTTACCAAAACGTGATATAGTAAATTATCAAACTCATATAATCTCTGGCAGCAAAAATCACAGTAATCATTATGACTAAAGTTAAAGGAGCTTCCTTCCATTTTAATTATGGGATGATATATATTAAATAATCATAGCTGTGCAATCAGTCTACCATGTCTGAGAGGAATGTCCCTTAATGAGAGGTATTTCTAGGGTCCTTCTATAAGATCAGAAGTCAATTGCGGATAAAGGGGGAGTGAGGAAGAGTCATGGGCCATTTTTAAATCAATTTCTCTCATTCTAATTTTATAATTATTTATCCATTTTTTTATTTTTTTTGTATAGACTGCACTGTAAGGTACTCCCATTCTTCTTCCTCTCCTATCTCCACAAAGAAACCCTGACTTGCTGTGCCCAATTAAACTTTTTTATTTTTACATCCCTCCCTCTTAACCTGTCCATGCTTCTCAGCCTGGCAAGACACTTTTTTGGGTATCTTTCATCTGTCATGCTCAAAACATTTTTAATCCAGTTTATAATTAACCTAAATACTTCACATGACAGATGATTACTTCCGGTCTCTAATCTAACCGCATAGCCGGGCGTATTAAACGGAACATTCAAAATTCTTTTAAAAAAATTAGTCTAGATTTTCTCGATTGAATTAAGATATCTTAAGCTCCAAATTAGTGCTGCATACAAAGAAACATTGGAAACAAGACTCTTATAAAGATGTGACACTGGATCAAAAAAATCCAGTTTCATTTTTGAAATTAATGATACTGTATAATTTACCGCCAGATTTGATTTCTTCACAATTTCATCTTTTGCATTTAAAAAAAGCGAGGATTGTGAAAATACCACTCCCAAATACTCATAATTTTTAACAATTTCTATCTCGCTTTTTCCATACTCAAAAGATGGTAATTTTTTGTTATGACAGTGACCTTCTTTTCTAAACACTACTATTTTTATTTTTTTTTTTGAGTTAACTTCAAGTTTATTCAAAATGCAGTATTCTTCCAAGTATAAAAGGATTTTTCTCATGTCCACCAAGGAGTCAGCAGGGACAGCTATATCGTCCGCATATGCCAAAAGGATAATAGAGCCTTGCTATAAAAATCTTTTATGATGTTTACGAACTTTGATCCACATCCCAAAGAATATAATTTATTTAACAACATATTATGATTTAATGATGGGAAAGCCGATTTAAAATCTATAAAAAGAACAAATAATTTCCTGCCGCCCATGTTTATTCTATTTTGAATTAAAGCATTTAACGTAAATATATGATCAATACATCCCCTCTTTCTCCTAAAACCCGCCTGCCACTCTGGAATAATTTGTGGTTCCTCTGCCCAAAGTGTCAATCTGTTTGCGAGTATTTGAGTAAATACATTAGTGATATTGTTCACCAAATAAATGGGTCGATAATTTTCTGGATCATTTCGATCCTCTTTTTTATGCAACATTTTTATCAAGGTATCAGACCAACAATTTGGCATTTTTTTCATCTCTCAATTTTCTATTAAAAAGTGAGTTAAGATATAAAAGAAGATTGGCAGGTAGGTTTTTTTAGAAACTCGCATCTATTAACTATATACCAAAAATGTTTTGAGCTTCACACACTATGAAGAGAATCAATCAGAGTTTTATTATAACTTTTCTTTTTTGTTACTATTATGTTATTATAAGTTTTTTTAGCTTCACTATATTTAACTGCATTATCCTCATTGAAACCCGAATGTTTACATTCTTTAAGTAATCTCCGACCGATCTACCATTTAATACAAATAAACCAAGCTCTTCAAAACATTCCGTGACAAATTTACCACGTTTATCTATAGTTATGTCAAGACTATATCTTTTTCCCATAAAATTAGTATAAGAAAAACATTCTTGGAGAGATACTTCATTAATTACTTTGACTAGACGAGGAGCATCGAAGCTGCAATTATGTGCTAATAAAATACATTTCTTATCACAGTCAATCAGAAATTTGAGAAATTCTCCTAGTACAATTCGCAATGAATGCGACGGGACTTTCTTCCCGTGTAACAACAAATCTCGCCCATCTTTTGTAAGACCATTTACATTCGATGCTGATGAAGGTATTGGATACTTTGGATGAATATACTTATTGAATGAATGACTATCATATCGCGCGGAAGTTTGTAATATTTCACAGTTTCCCTTCAATCTTGATGTCTCTAAATCAAAAAAACTAGCGCCTTAGAAACATCAAAATTAACATTCGTTGATAACTGTGGCAAATTCTCAGCATTGACGTCTACTGTTACTTTAAGATCAAAATTTTTTTCAGTAGGTATAGTCAACAAGCTTACATTACTTTCGTATGTATCTTCATCGACAAGCTCTTTCGATTTTCTTAATTGCGAACAAAGTTTCTTTAGCTGCTGACGTCTCTTTTTGAACTCTGGTTGATTTGCTATCCTAGTTCGAAGTAAATGAGATCTTTTGGTACGTTCAATATGTTTGCCCTGTGGGCAAAAAACCATGTTCGTTCTAAAAACGTTTTAAGAACGTTTTTAGAACGTTTCATGTCCACTAAATAATGTTCTGGAACATTATTTGAACATCCATGTTCTTAAAATGTTCCAAAACATTATTTGGCGGACATGAAACGCTCTAAGAACGTCCTTAAAACGTTTTTAAAACGAACATGGTTTTTTGCCCACAGGGTGGATAAGTGAGCACCAGGACTAAGCTCCAATTTTTGTAGTGTGTTTTGCACATATTGATGTCTTGTATTTTTTTGAGTTACTGCACAACTAAATCTAAAGTCTGCGGATTCTGAAAGGCTGTAACATATTGCTTTCGGAGCTTTGCGGGACATTATTCCATTTAAACTTTCATTTCCCTGAGTAGAAGCAAGCGTTGAAAATTTTTGTGCATTATCTGACAATTTACCAAAAATCTCGATTAATTCTTGATGGAGATTATCATTATAAATTTTTTTAGGTAAAGCACTTGTGTGTTTATATTTTTCAGGATCTTTCGAGAATTCACACTAGTCCGCACAATTGTCATGTTCGTCGTAAGCGTGGTAAGGAATATTTCGTATTGCAGCAGCCATTTTTTCAGTATCACCTTCATTTTGAGCAATCGCGTAAGTGAAACACCGATGGAGGTATGGAATGGCTTCACCAGTTAGACCTTTGGTTCCTTGGGAATTAGCAGTTTTGTATAATAAATGTTTTACTCCTTTAGTCATTTGATTTTTATCTGCTCGATTAAGTATTAAATGGTCATTCTTCTTCTTTAAGGCACATATTGTAGAAGCATCATTATCTAAATCTAAAACACCAACCTCGACATTATTTTCTTTGAATATTGAACTGATACTGCACATCTCAGCAGCCGCATCAGCTTCCATGGCTTTTGCGCTTCCATGAAAGTTCAAGCGGCAATCATGGTCATTTTTTGGATGACCTGAACCGCAAAATTAACATTTGCGATTACTTGTTCGGTAATCGAGAACAAGTCCAGATTGAGATCCAATGGATGCTCCGTACCCATTTAAGCTGTCGTAATTTCGCCCATTGGCTCTCATGCTGTATCCCATATCATAATACATGAACAGACGAACAACATCATCAAACTCTACATTTGTTTCATCTGCAGTCAGAATTGCAGTATCAATATTATTATTATTATCAATATTAGGTGTTTCAGTTGTTACAGCTGTTTGTGATACTGATTCAATTCCACATTCAATAGCTGATATTGATTGATTATTTGTGATTCCACGTAACGTAGAATTTACTTCAATCGCTGCAGGAGTTGAAAATGACGCAGTTTTTGCCAAATTCTGATGAACTTCAGCATTGAGAGAATTTGTCGAGAATATTTTAGTACTGTCCGGTTGCAATGGAAATTTAGGAATCAAAAATCCCTTTTGTCATTCTTCAGGCCTACATGGAATTAAAATATAAAATTAAAAAGTAAAATTAAGGTAATAATTATTTATAGGTTTTACATAATATTACGATTTTGTCTTACAGTATGTGCTTTAAAAAATGACGAAAAGGCATTATCCTGTAGTCATTTTTTTCAGAATATAGATAGTTCAAAATAAATTTCAAGAAATATTTGTTTTAAAATTAAAGACAATTTAATCAATTAATTAAAATATATTTTCACATAATATATAACGGTAATGCATCTTACTAAATTGTAACATATTTTTTCGTCAATTAGCGTTAAACTTAAATAATTAATAAAAATCTACGAACACGCTTAAAATTGTAAAATGTATATTTTGCTTCCTCGTGGAGGAAGCTTTGTAGGCCTTTCGTTTATGAAACTTTTCAAAGTGGCGGAAACAAATTTTTTTCTTTATAGAAACATGTTATATGAGATCCTGATCAATTGTCCGGATACATATGTGTGTGTATGTATGTGTGTGTGGATCACTTTTTTGTTTAAAAAATAACTTTAACAGGTTTTAATGGATTTAGACAAAATTTGGTAGGTTCATTTATCATATTAATATCTCAAATCTGACCAAAGGATTTTAAAAAATACAAAAAAAAAATTTTATCGTCTTTTCACATTTTGGCTACAAAATTTTGTGATTTTTTAAATTGAAATTTATATATGAAATAATTGTATTCCTTACATCAAGACGAATCGATCGATATATATAAAGTATACATTTGAGGTAAATTTAAAGAATTAATGAAAGTTAAAAAATAAAAAATTCACATTTTGGCAATAAAATTTTGCTTTCTCTACGAGGAAGCAAATTTTTTTGCTGATCGTAAAGAGGAAGCAAAATGTACATGTAATGAACATCTGAATTTACAACTTGTTTTAAGTATTTTTCAAAACTTTTTGAAAAAACTTTTAACTGTTATTTTAAATATCATTAAAATCACTTGTCATTTTAAAATTGTCGCTGTTTAACCATCTTTATTTATTATAATCTACTAGCTTTCATACCCGCCTTCGGCGAGAGCGGAATCTAGTGGTATGCGCCCAACAGTATTTTCGTGCAAATAATTTTTTGTATAGATAGTTGATTGTTATTAAAAACTTGAACTAATAATTTCATAAATTTGTTAAATTTTAAAATTGTTTAAAATTTTAAATCTAAAAAACACATACTAAAAATATACTAACCCTTTATTTTTCTTTATTAACTTCGTAATTAATGATTTCAAATGTTTTGAATCTGTAACAGATTACCCTGATAAATTTGATTTCGTTTAAGCCTTGTTTTGATAATTCTCGAACCAAATTTTTCAAACAGCATCATTATTCTATTACCTTTTTTTATTTTTAGATTCTTTGTTTCTTAAAAAAAACATTATTTAAGAAGTTTTATGTTTATGTTTTTTATGTATTTAAAATTTTTTTATTTAAAGTAGGTATTTAAAAAAATTAGATTTTAAAAAATATTTTAATTCAATTTTTTTCAAAATAATTGAATTTTCAAAAATAATTAATTTTTAATTAATTTTAGTAAAATTTAAAAAAACGAATTTTTAAAGATATGTAATTCAACATTTTGAAAATAATTAAATTTTACAAATTGTCACAAATAAATATATTACAAGCATTTTTTTCTGCCTATTTAGTCAATTTTATTTCGAATCGAATTATTATTTTTTAAAAAATTTTATTTCAACTTTAAAAACCATTTTGTAAAGGCCACAATCTTTTACAAAAAATAAAATATTTAAAAATTAATAATTCATTAATTAATACATTTTTAATTATAATAAATAATTTTTGAATAATAATTTTGATTTAAATGTTTAAAAAATAGAATTTTTGTGTTCACTTTCATTTCTTATTTTAATATATTGAAATTATTTTCTTAATTATTTTTAAAACGCTTTTTCTTGTCTTTAACAATACTAATATAATTGTTTATTAATAAATAAAAAATTTTAAAATTAATTTTCGCAAATTTGTGAATTTTTAATTAATAGATAATATTTAAAAAAATAATTAATTTTATAATAACCTTTTCACATGACCTTCAGTCATGATTTTACAGTATTATTTCGATTCACTTTTAATTTTTATATTCACCTGCAATGTGAATATTCAGAATATTCAAATATCTCCGTGAAAACCTTTTTAAATGAGCCCGCCCTTTTAGGTCGATAAGTAAGATTACTTTTCTATCAGCAAGTTGTAGAGCCTGTGGAAGATTTTTTTTTTCTCAGCCAGATATCTGTACACAGAGGAATAGTAAGGAGACCGATCTCTGCGTTTGAAAATGTCAGAAAAACATGTACGATAAGTGCCAGGTTCAGTGCATTGTACTCAACTGGCCGAAGTAGGTGAGCATGCGCATTGGACCTCAATTTTGACAGATGAAAAGTGTGGTTATGCGATATACATATATGTCACAAAAAAAATCTTAGTGTTCAGTATTTATTTCAGAAATTTTATATACCATTGCGATATTGTATCTCCAAAATCATGTGTAAGTATATAATAATGTATGCTATTGGAATATTTAAAGTGTCAATAAATTGATGTAATTATTAAAAGAATAATGGAGCCATAGTAATTACAAACATATTATTTATTGTGTATGTCATGAAAAAGATTTTTCTTACATCCTGGCACACAGCACGACATTTTAAAATAAACATTAATAATAATTATTAAAATAATAACAATAATAACACATAACCCCTTCGTCACAACACGCATGGAAGACTTGAGAAATATACGTCAGCCAGATCTCACTCGCACAGTTTTTGCGAGAGAAAGAGACAGCACAATAATGCGCATGCTCAGCTACTTTAGTGGTTGAGTAAAATGCAGTGAAACTGGCATTTATCGTACATGTTTTTCTGACATTTTCAGAAGCGCTACTACAGCAAGATCGGTCTCCTTACTATTCCTCCGTGTATCTGTAGTGTAGTGGTTAGGGTACGTCTTTAGCTAGCGCGCGGCGAACGTAGGTTCAATCCCTAGCACCCCGCAATTTATTTTCAAAAGTTCTTGCTCAACAAGCATGCAGTGCTTGATTCAATGTGAAACAAAGCATCAAAGCAGAGCAACAATGTTTGTATATTATTTATTTTATTTTTATTCCCAGATAGTAAATTTTTTTTATTAATAATAATAATAAAGATTTATCTATCTATTATTATTATTATTATTATTATTATTATTATTATTATTAATATTATTATTAATAATAATAATAATATTAATACTTCTTAAATATTATTTTTGTATTTTTTACAGATATTTCCGTCCAACATTTCCTGAAAATTTCATTTAAATTTTTAGTCAACTTTTACGCCAAATATTTATTTTGGAGGGACATTTAAATCTTTATGCAATTTTCATTAAACCTTGCAATTAAATATTCCCAAGATTTCAAGGAAATCTTTACGAAATTTTTAGTAAAGATTGGCTGCTGTGGGGGAACTGAACTAATAATTTCACAAATTTGTTAAATTTTAAAATTGTCAAAAATTTTAAATCTAAAAAGCACATACTAAAAAAAGAATTGTACATGAATTTTTAAGTTCTAAGCAATTTACAGACAAAAGTCTAATTTTATTAATACAGATTTTTATACCTTAATTTTAATTTCATGTTATGTACAATTCGTTGGATTTAAACAATTGACTTTCAATTTTTTCTCCAATTCTCTGTAGTTTTGAAAAGTTAAAGATCGTTCAAGTTTAGTAGCTGCCTGACAGCTTTCATTTGCTATTAACTCAACAACGGGCCCTACTTCTCTCTCGTACCTTTTAAATTTTGCAGCTTTCCCTGTGGGCAAAAAACCATGTTCATTCTAAAAACGTTTTAAGGACTTTATTAGAACGTTTCATGTCCGCCAAATAATGTTCTGGA